AAAAAGATAAAGCGTTCAGCTGTAGCACCCTTCCGGTGCCTAACTGCCATGCCACACGAAGGAAGCACGAGGGCTGGGATACTGCCAGGTTGCCCAAGCCTAGACAGGGGAAGCCGAGTGGCGGAGGTCGGATTCGAACAAGGGACCTGCCGGTCAGTAAATTCGCGCTCTAAACACTTGGGCCATCTCGCCACCTCGGCGGAGGTGGTAGCTTCTGCATGATGAGTATAGTACGCTCGACCATCGTGTTCGAGTTTCGGAAACGCGGCAATTATCTGTAAGCAAAGTGTGAAGACTGCACGGCAAAGCAGCTTGTTGGTCAACTTGCACATTGAAAGTCACGATGAAAACATAAGAACGAGGTCTGAGAACCGGATGCGAAGCTGCAGTGAGTGATGGAATTGCTCTTTGGTATCATCTCTTTGGATGCGAGGCTGACGTGACTGTAGCTAGGACTCACAGAGAAATGGGACAGGATGATAGTCAAGAGGTAAAAGATAAAAGATAAAGCGTTCAGCTGTAGCACCCTTCCGGTGCCTAGCTGCCATGCCACCCGAAGGAAGCACGAGGGCTGGGATACTGCCAGGTTGCCCAAGCCTAGACAGGGGAAGTCGAGTGGCGGAGGTCGGATTCGAACCGCGGACCTTCATGTTAGTAATCCGCGCTCTAACCACTTCGGCCATCTCGCCCCCTCGGCCATCTCGCCCTCTAGAGGTGATACTGAAGAAAGGTGGGAGACGTCATCAACAGTCGGTTTCATTTTCTCACCATGCCGTATGCAGCAGGCAAGGCGACCTGGCTGGTGACACCACGCAACGGCAGATTTACTAACTTATTGGTACCCGTACAGTTCATGGTTATCGCGAGTAATGTAGCAATAAGTAATTATGGAAGAAGGCACGAAGGTTGGCAAGGTAATGACAGGGACAACAGGGCACTTAATATCCGCCCGCTGACTGAAGGGGCGGAGTCAACCAGGACATGCAAGCTCAGATCGTAGTTAACCTCGAACGATTGAGGAATACTGCTTTCAAGCTCGACGACGAAAATGGCAACATACTGTCTTGAATCGTATCGGTTTGGTTGGCTATTGCCATAGTATTTCAGTATAGAAGTACGAAAAACAAAGATGATGAGAAAGTGCACAGTGACTTGCATTGGAACGACCGTGTAACTCATACACGGGATTCACTTTGGTAAGCTCCGAAGATTGCAGTATACCTTGCTTAGCTGAGCTTAATGACCAGAGAGACCAAAATAACTGGCTGCAACACGGTAAAACCTTGTGTAAACACATCTAATTCGGGAAAGTCCATCAGATAAGGTACTAGAATACCAGAAGTAAAGAGAGAGATTGTTCAGGTGTAACACATTTTCGGTGCTTAACTGGAATGCCATTCGAAGTAAGCACAAGGACTGGGATACTGCCACGTTCCCCAAGTCTAGATACGGGAAGTTGAGAGGCAGAGGTCGGTTTCGAACTACAGACCTTCCGATCAGTAAATTCGCGCTCTAACCACTGAGCCATCTCGACCCCACTGTAGGAAATACCGTGGTTCAAACCTAACCCTGGCTTCTCGGTTGCTACCGTTTTGGCTTAGGCAACCTGGCATTATATCTCAACACTCGTGTTGCACGCTAGCCATGCGCCACAGCCGAGCTATTACTTAATCATTAGCACGTCCATCTCAGTTGCCTTTTTGCAACAGGTTATACCTGGCAAACCGTTAGCTGATTTCAAGACCAACATGTATATCATATTTTGTTGGCATTGGTTAAGAATCAAAAGTGAAAAGTAATACAAATAAGTTGAGAAAGTGCTGCAAATATGAGGCACCACTGATCCCAGAAGTATGTTCGACTATAATAGCGGAGTACCAAATGACTTACCTTGATGCACAATGCGCATGTGCCTAACCATTCCATGTTTGGTGGTAACCAACTTGCCACACAGTGTACACGAGTGGTTGTTCGGAACTGTATAGAAAAAGCGTACGAGGAAAACTGATAGTTGGCATAAAACATTGTTATTCACCATCAGTTGGTGCGTGGTACTTCACTGTCGTGTACCTGAGAACATTTTAATCCTAAATATTGAATCGGTAAGAACAAGTAATGCGCTTAGTGTCTACACCTTCAGCACCTGCAGGGAACATCTGATTAGAAATGAGAAGGGACATGATTACTGATTTTCACCGAGCAGACCTCTTTAGGTTCCAGCCCGAGGTAGGAATGCATTTACAGCCGGTATTCTTGGAATACACATGTAAATAACCTAAAGCGACACAAGACCTAGAAAAATTGGCTAGTTCAGCAGTCTGCCCACCAAGACAAACAGTGAAAATAAGCAACTAAAGAAATAACTTACTATCCATGAGACTATCTCCGGAAATGAGGGGAAGTTTGAAAGCCGATGAGCAACTTGATCCGCACAGCTACCAAACAAACATGGCCTTGCTAAAACGGATTAAAAGATCGATTAGAGGCTATTGGGTAGGGTAGCATGCCTCACTAAGGGGTTCAAATACAGTGCCTCACAGAAGAACAATTCAAATGTCAAACGCCTGCCAGAGTGCGCCGAGGAAGAGACAGTAAACACACTAGTAGTTCGTTTATCATCATCAGTATTATCGAAAGAATAACATTAGTGATTCTTTGTCACAAAACCATAGTTTTTCAGAAAGACTTTGTGAAGAAAATAAAAATGACCGGGGAAGAAACCTAATTCTAGCAGAACAGAATTATTCCGAGGTACATGCACCCCCAGACACACTCAGGCAACCGGAAGAGAAACTGACAACATGAACGCCACTGACATCGGTTGGCAGCCATATCTTGCAGCGTCTCCAACCAGTCGCGATGGGTATCACGCGGTCCCCATCCCGGAAACCGAGTAGCACCAACAGCACCAAATCTTTTCGCAATCTCCTTCATACCCTTCTGCCAGGTCAAGGGTTAGCCACCCTTTAGCTTCCAACACTCCGAACGGGACACGGAAAAGAACACTCCCTTCGTAAAACAATGGCTCAGCATACGCAACACATGGCCTAACCAACACAGCTTCTGGTATTGAGCAAATTCTTCAATGGAAGTACCGTTGCACAACCAAAAACGCGCTTTCTAATTGACCCGTTACGGATTCGCCGACACCAACCCACACGAGCTATGATTCTGAGACAATTGTATTAAAAGTCCTACAGTGAAGAGGTGAGAAAAAGAGTGGGTGAGGGAGGGGACTTCGGATTCGCCCCAACCCACACGAGCTATGATTCTGAGACAATTGTATTAAAAGTCCTACAGTGAAGAGGTGAGAAAAAGAGTGGGTGAGGGAGGGGACTTAGTGCTGGCCTATGTCAAGCAAGGGGACTTAGTGCTGGCCTATGTCAAGCATACTGAGGTGCCTACACCTCCAACC